GTGCCAGCTCTTGCCTCTGTCTGCCATAGTATTTGTGTAATTTATTATTATTGGACTATACTGGTGGGGTAGGTGGTGTTGGAACGTTGGGTGCATGAAACCTTACCAGTGATAGCATTATAAATCAGAATGCTTTAAATAAAAATTTGAAAAACTGCTTGACTTGTGTGTAGGTGATGGTACTAGATGGAAACAGTGTAAGGAAATAGGCACTAAAATATAATCTATTACAACAGCTAATCCAATAGTGATAGTGGTTTAGACAGACTGATGCACTATTTTAGCACTGTTCATCGATTTGCTTGGATAGGCACCAGTAACGTCTCCATTGTGAGACTTGTGGTTACTGTTTTTGGCATATCGAATTTGCCACGGGGAACTTGCCAGGCTCTGCCATGTGGGCGGGCTACTCTCGGTAGCTTGCCGGGCTCTCCCAGAGGGACCAGAGGAATCTAACCCAGGTTGGCTGCGTGCAAGGCATATGCCCTACCCACTGTAGGACAGTGGGGTTAAAATAATGCTCGTAGTTTTTTTTTGAGGGGGGGAAGGGCAGGGTGCTTCTCCTAAGCAGTACTTAGGGGTCCTGGGAGCCATCAGGCACCTACTTTTGGTGATTAATGATACAACGGCAATGATACAGTGGTTTCACATTATGATACAAAATTACCAACTTGAAGCTGTAGCGATAGTATAGTCGGTAGGGTGCTTGCCTTGCACATGGCCGACCCAGGTTCGATTCCCAGCATCCGATATAGTCCCCTGAGCACCGCCAGGAGTAATTCCTGAGTGCAAAGCCAGGTGTAACCCCTGAGCATCGCCAGATGTGACCCAAAAAGCAATAAATAAATAAATATGAAAAAAACTAAATGAAATAAAATTACCAACTTACTGAGCAAGTTCAAACTAGCAGTGAAAGTGCTAAGTTTCTGAAATTCTTGAAGACTATTACCATTGACCAAGACCTTGATAGTTATGTAGATTTGTGGAATCTCTCCTGGCGCAGCATATGTGTATTCAGTTTTTAATTATTTCTTTTCATCCAGAGAGCCTGTCTGCAGTTGCTTTTTTACATTGGTAGGAATGGTGTTGACAGGAAGGGAATGTATTCTCATTGTATCATCATCTTCTAATTATTTTCCATCATAGTTTGGTCTTGGTAATTCTTTGCCATTGAATGATTTCCAATTTCTGGTTTATAGCCCACTTTTCTCTTTCTTTTTTTTCACTTTTTTGGTCCGTGCCTTGCAGTGCTCAGGGATCATTCTTCGTACTACTCCAGGCATCATCTATGGTATAGGGAATTGCTTTGCCCACTGCCCTATGGCTCTGCCCTCACTACTGGACTCCCAACAAGCACTTCGGCTCACTGATCTTGATTGACTGGGTGAACTGTATGCACAAATTATGTTACAAATAATACTCTGTTATGAATAATACAAATGATTGCTCAAAGTTTGGTGTTTATATAACTATATTTGCTTTATGTGCTTAGTTAATTTTAATAAGCATCTTCAAAACCTGTTACACTAGCATTGGTCAGGGCACTGGACTTAGAAAGATGCAGATTTACCTGTCAGTTGAACAGAATCTGCCCTATCCATGCAAAAAAGTGTATCTTATCCATTAAGGTGACATAAGAAGTGCCTGATATTTCAAGTAAAAATAACTTAAAAATTATATATACAGTGAGATTCCAATATTATGAATCTTTCTCTCTCCCTTTTTCTTTCTGTGTGTGTATGTGTATGTGTGTGTGTATGTGTGTGAGAGAGAGAGGGACAGAGAGACAGAGACAGACAGAGACACAGAGAGAGACAGAGAGACAGAGAGAGACAGATATTAGAGAATTTAGACATAGTGATTTTCTCTGGAACATGAGCTTAGAAGATGTTTATGTTTATTTTCTTCATAATTCAAATTCTCTGAAATATGACTGATGTTAACAATTTACAATCAGAAAATGTTATTTCAAACTATTTCCCCTAGAAGCTTGCTTTTTAATTATATATAACACTTAGTGTAAAAGTGAAAATCTTAGTCGATCTTTTTTTAAAATTTATTTTATTTTATTTTTTACTTTTTTGGTCACACCTGGCGATGCTCAGGGGTTACTCCTGGCTCTGCACTCAGGAATTACTCCTGGCAGTGCTCAGGGGACCATATGGGATGCTGGGAATTGAACCCGGGTTGGCTGCGTGCAAGGCAAACGCCCTAGCCTCTGTGCTATGACTCCAGCACCCCAAATATTCTTTCACTGAGAACTGTCGAATGAAGACCGCGTGGCCGCCCACCTTCCAGATGGTCAGACTTCTTCGTGAAGATCATGAACGATCGGTTTGAGGCCCTTCATGTTCCCGGAGCGAACAGATGCCATTGGGCTACACTAGCACGCGACAGGGACAAATGAAGACATTACTGGCGCCCGCTCAAGCAAATCGACGACTAACGGGAAGTTAAGTGATTAAGTGATTAAGTGAGAACTGTCACTGTCCTCCCGTTGTTTATCGATTTGCTCGAGGGGGCCGAGTAGCGTCTCCGTTGTTAAAATTGTTACTGTGTTTGGCATATCGAATACGTCACGGGGAGCTTGCCAGGCTTTGCCATGCAAGCGAGATACTCTCGGTAGCTTGCCGGGCTCTCCAAGAGGGGCGGAGAAATCGAACTCGGGTCTGCCAGGTTGGCCGCGTGCAAGGCAAACACCCTACCCGTTGTGCTATCGCTCCAGCCCAGTCCTAGTTGATCTTGTGTCACCTAAGTTCTGTGGTCCTTCCTTTGGTGGCACCAATTGTCTGGATTCTGTTCGGACCTTCATTTCTTGCTCTCTTCTGCTGACTGGCCGTGCAGGTCACTTCTCTGATGAATAAACGTTCCCCATGTCTCAGACCCACACGTTCATCTTTGCTGTCTCTCTCTTCATCACTTTATAGTGTTGAATTGGGTTGATTTGTCCTTTGGCTGTTTATATCCTTATGGCCATTTTCACTCTAGTGCATTTTCAATTTTATTTTGTTATTATTGATCTTATTCTTTTTTTTTTCTGGTGAAATGTTTATTCTAAAACACATCTGCGAGCCATTTGTAGTTCTGCTTAGATATGGTTAAACATTTCATTGCATCTGAGTCCTAAAAATATATTCCTTTAATATCCGCAGGCTTCTCTTTGTAGCCTCTTTGAAAGCCAAGTGCGACATTTGGATGCAAAAGTGTCATCAAAAAGTTCAGTGCAGAGACAATAACCCGTTTGTTGAGCCTCTGAAGGTTCCCCTCAGGGACAATTTGTGGCCGACTGTGATTGTTGTCTTTTAAGAAAATTCAGAAGTAGAATTGCAAACCCAATATGCCTAATGTTTAAGTCTTTACATGAGTTTAAAGATAATATATGATAAATGGTGTAACCCAAGTTAATTTGACATGGAGATAAACTTGGGTAGCTTATTTTTTAAAAAGGGTAGCTTTGTTTTTTTTTTTTAAAGGTGAGTAAAGGAGCTAACATTCTAATTACAAAAAAAAGTAACCACAGTGGAAAATGTTTTCATTAGAAGCAATAAAAGGGCGTTTCCTTCTTTCTTTCCTCCCTCCCTCCTTTCTTTCTTCCTTCTTCCTTCCCCTCCTTCCCCTTCTCCCTCCCTCCCTCCCTCCCTCCTTCCCCTTCCTTCCTTCCTTCCTTCCTTCCTTCCTTCCTTCCTTCTTTCCTTCCTTCCTTCCTTCCTTCCCTCCCTCCTTCCCCTTCCCTCCCTCTCTTCTTCCCCTTCCCTCCCTCTCTTCTCCATCCTTCCTCCCTTCCCCTTCCTTCCTTCTTTCCTCCCTTGCATAACACTCTGCTATAACCCTTACCTATTGTGACACATAGCTTGTAGTACCTTATCGGAGGTACTCATCTATTTCTGTCTACTCATTGATCTGTAAGCGACTTGATGGAACAGTCTACATCTCATTTGCATCTGAGGCTTGTTCCTTCCTTATAATTGGTCCTCAATGAACGGAAAAATGTATTTTACATTTAATTAAGAGTGACTGACTTCAGAAGCTTGACAGCATGCAAGTATTAGTATGTGAATCGTGCTAAAGGGTTGTGCGCCGGGAAACCGGCTTGCATTAGAGAAATCGAGAAGGTTTTAAGACAGAAGATAAAAAACACATTTTCTCAACTGCAGGGGTAATCAAATACTGTAATAGATTCCCAGAGAAGGAGGTAAAATCTCCGTCCCTGGAGATCCTTAAAAATTGGAAAGAGAAAACATCTGTGAGGATGACTGAAGCCTTAAATCTGTCTTGAAGCAAGTAGATAGACACAATGACAAATGATTCTGTGATTCTTTGATTATTTGGCCTGGACACGAAAAGGGCCAAATAAGCCACTTCAAATATGGAAAGCGGCCGTTATTGCTTTCTATAAAAAAATAGCGCCCAGCGCTTAAGCGGAAGGCTTCTGCACTTAGGTTACATTTAGAGTTAGGGATTTGAAGACTTAGGGTGACAGTCTTTTGCAAAGGAGAAGACTGATTTGTTTGAGATGATCCAATCACAGTAAAAGTATTTTTTTAAAAAATGTTAGGGTGAATTGAAAAAATTATTCCAATGCATTAGATTCGGTGTACTGCATTCTTCTGGGGGAAAGGCGAACATTTGGGAGTGGTATTTTAATGCACTGGGCATCGTCACTGCTTCGTGTCTAGCACTAGTAGAGAGCAGAGGTAATCTTCATGAAGTCCTTAGTACAGGGTGAATGTGGGAGTAGTAAACCAGCAACCAAGGGGCAAGGAGTTGGAGGCTCTGTTCTACTGTGCCCTGTCAGCCTTGCTTTTGGCAGAGTACTTTTATCCCCCAGAAAAGCTTCAAGAAAAATCGTGGGGAGGGGACCTACATACAGCCTCTCAGTCCAGAGCAAGCTAAAACAAGTACCCGATTTATCAACCAGTCAGGAGGCATTTGATTGTAATTTCAACATTTGGCCACACGATGTCACAGTTGCATTTTGGTTTCCCCTGTATTTGTCTCAGATGACGGGATTTTCAAAGCCGGAGCTGAGCGATCGGAAACGCGGGGGGCAGCAGAAATCCAAGAAGATGAAGAGACTCAGGTTGAGGTTCCAGTCGACCAGGTATTCGCCTTGCTACACCTTCTCAAAATATGGATAAGCCAAATTCCCACTCTCTTCCTTTCAAGTTGTGTGTTAACTGCTTCTCACGGCCCCCTCACCTTTATTCAACAAACCCTCTCCTTTGTGCCAGCACAACCCAATGATCAAATAATAATAATAAAAAAACCCTGTTAGTTCTTTCTGGTGCTCCTAAAAGAATAGCTATTTGCACTGTTTTCCAAATCATTTTCATGGCAAACGTTATGTCTTTAGTAAATGGCACGGAAGGACCTGGTGTTTGGGGTTAGGTAGGAGAAATAAAGTGGAGAAGGTCTGATTCAAGAGTCTCGACTCAGTTATTAATCTCTAAAAGAGATCTTCCATTTTGAAAATCAGTTTTAAAAATGCCAAAAGGTTTTTTTTTTTTTTTTTTTTGGGATAGGGTGCTTAAATGGTTGTCATTGGGATTTGTCTTTTGGTAAGGAATTACACCTATAAATGCAACTCAAATGTTTGCTAAGTGTGTGCTGATTTTCTCTCTCTCTCTCTCTCTCTCTCTCTCTCTCTGTGTACATGCACTATTATAGAAGGGACTAAATGTTAATTCTTCCTGAATGATGCGAGGCATAAAAGTCAGTTCAGCATTTTAATACAATTCAACCATCTTCCTCACAATTAATTCTAAGGGGAGGACTGGAATTTAGGTAATGGGGAAGAAATCATAGTGCCAGGCTCAAGGGAATGAGAAATCACTAGAGGATTTCTGCCTGTTCTTATGCGAAAGCAAATTCCACAATCCAGCAAATTCCACAGATGATCTTCTCAATTGTATTTGCCTTAACAATGTGAAGTCGCTGCTTGGTTATTCCAGAAGCACTTACTGTCAGCACCAGCTCCCCAGTGAAGAGCTAATGTGTTAAAAGTCACACTGATTTCAGAAATCCAATTTATTAACCAGGTTCAATGACAACTCATCATTTTTTGTAAACTCCAGTCATAGGTGTATTCCCCCTCCCCACCGAGGAAAAGTGGAATTTTTAGACTTCTATAAAGCAATAATTAAATATGATATTTATTTTAAGACAAAGAAAAGTAATCTTCATGGATATACTTCACATAATAGCTGCTGAAAGTGAGGCTAATTTATATTCCACAGTCAAAATGCCAAGTATCAAGAGAAAATCAAAGCAGTATTACCAAAAGAGATTCTCTTTGTTAATCACTTAACAAGTTTCAGAATCTGCGATGGGTCTTTCTTTCCTTCTAAGTTTGAGGATCATAGGACAGAGAGATGCTGGCAGGCGGATGTGATCTCGGATGAGTCTTGAACAGCCTTGGATAAGTATCTGCAGAATGTGATTTCTTACTTGGGGAGAACTACCTTACTCTAGCACAAGTATGCAAGAGAGATTCATTAAGCAGTTTGGTAAATGCTGAGCACTCCTCACAAATGGATGGCAGGTTCAAGGAGACAAAACCAGGCATCAAGAAGGCAGGCTAATTTTCTTCTTCGAGCCTATTTTTAATGGAATTGGGTTTAGCTAGTTCAGGAGTAGGGTGGAGCTGAGATGCTTAGATGGTCCGGTGTTACAGTCCTTCTCATTCTGGGTTCTTGGCCTCCTTCTCCATAGTCTAAGCGATTTTCTTACACATATTGTGAAAAATCCAAAGGAGTGTAAAGTCTATTAGAATAAGAATAATTCTGAGGATATATTTTTGGGATATTATGAGTGATAGCACAGCAGGTAGGGCATTTGCCTTGCACACCGCCGACCTGGGTTCGATTCCTTTGTCCCTTGCCGGAGAGCCCGGCAAGCTACCGAGAGTATTCTGCCCGCACAGCAGAGCCAGGCAAGCTCCCCATGGTGTATTTGATATGTCAAAAACTAGTAACAAGAAGTCTCACAATGGAGACATTACTGGTGCCCACTCGAGCAAATCGATGAACAACAGAAAGACTCCTGGCTCTGCACTCAGGAATTACTCCTCCCGGTGCTCGGGGAACCATATGGGATGCAGGGAATCAAACCTGGGTTGGCAACATGCAAAGCAAAAGCCCTACCCGCTATACTGTTGCTCTGGCCCCTCAATGTTTCTTTTTGATTGGGGGATGCTTCTGATTGCCAGGCACTGTCGTGGGCAGTTTTGGACTCAAATCATTGTGACACTTAACCCTATAACTTATGTCTTGTCATCACCATTTTATATATAGAAAGACTGTGAGCTCCTCTAGGTAAAATTACTTGCTCTAGGTTGAAATGTTAAATCTAGGAGAAGAGATTGGGATAAAGTTCTAATTTCAAAGCACAGAGTCAGATAAAGCATCATCAATGAAAAAAAAAGACACCAATATTTAGCCCAGGGAAGAAAATATTTCTGCATAATAAAGAAAATGTAGCACTCCCATATTTCTTGACTCAGTTATAAATTATAATTATATACTTCCCTTTGGGCAACACCTAGTTAATGTCTTTGGATTGGTTTTCTCTCTTCTAAATGGTTTCTTTTATAATATTAGTCAGAGGTCCAGGGAGAGGGTGTTGTGTGTAAATAAGTGAAAATTGGCTGAGTAATTTATTGATGTCTACAAAGCAGATGTGATTTTAGAAGTAAATATTCAGGCATCTGTTGGATCCAGTCTCAAGCAGTCCTTGTCGTCACTGTTGTATGTGGACAGAGGAGCTGATTACCTTTGTCCCGGATATGACTTTAAGGCGTTTGCACTGTGAACATCTTCGAAAGGTTGAACTAGTGACTTACTCTGAAACAGTCCTGACCTAGAGATGATACTGCCTTCCATGCGTCTTTTGCTGTTTCTGGAGACATTCCTGGTTGTCACAACCAGCTGAGTGGTTTTGGCCTGTAGTAGGGAGCAGTTAGGGATGAAGGTAAATATCCCACATTTCACACGATGACACCCACGATCAATAATTACTCAGACCAAAATGGCAATAATCCTGAGTCTTAGTAACCAGCTGTGGAGCAAAGACCAGGGTTTGCTGATTGTTTAACAGGTTTCAATATTATCATGTCAGTTTCCTTATGGTGCAAAGGTCAGACAGGTTAGCTTTTTATTATAAAAATTTGGTGTCATTGAGCTGGATATATGATGCATAGTTTCACAATAAGAACATTTGGGAGAAGATACTTGAGTTTTCTAAGCTTAGGGTTCTTCCCTGAAGTATAGGCTACTGGTGTTTCCCCGCCCCCAACTCCCATTGCCCCATGAGAAGGGGGCTTCAAGGAGTAAGCTATTATTCCAACTCTTGCTAGGTTGTGAACAATAATATCCGTGCCTCCATCCTGGTAGTCAGTTTCCTGTCTTCTACTAGCAGCCAGGAAACCACAGGTTGATGTGTGAGCATGTAAGGAGGGTAAGAATTAAATCCGTCACAGTTCTCGATAGCCTAGCATAGTGCCAGCTGGCCTGGGTGTTTGTGTTTGTGTCTGTCATTGGGCTTTGTAAACCGATTCCAACCAAGAAGGAGTCAACCTCCAGACTTTTCATAGTTTTTTTTTTCTTCCTGAATGTGCAAAGTTTTGCTTCATGCCTTCCCCTCCGTCTAGACTCAGATTTTAGCCTTCACATGTCTGCAGTTACTGGTCCCACGTCCGTTGGTTTTAGTCTCCCAAATCTGTGGCTGTTATTCCTTCTCAGTGTGTGTGTGTGTGTGCGCGCGCACACGTGCGTGTGTGTGTGTGTGTGTGTCCATATGGGTTTGCCAATTTTTTAAATGCCTTTATCCTCAAGATGAGAGAGGGGTGTCAGAATCACTGTGAGATACACAGTTACATATTATGATTGCATTTCTGTAGTACAATATTCCAACACCCGTCTCTTCATCAGTGTACATTTCCAACACCAATGTTTCTAGTTTTCCTGCCACCACCCTACCCCAAACTAACAATAACAACAACCACGACAGAAGAGCCCATTTTTTCAGTCTGCTGTGTTGAACCACCAGAGATACTTTTACACTATTCATCACACGGAAAAGAAACTGAATTCTTTCAATTTGCCCTAGGAATGACAAATGCAGCCTGTGGGCCAAATCCTTGGGAAGAAATGTTCTAGCCTGGCACAGGGCTGAGAGCGTCGGAAGCTCCTTAGTTGGCATATATGTTTGGGTTTTCCTCAAGCCACACCATTCCCTATTACTGCCCACCTCTTCCGAACTAAGCACTTACATTATTTATTTGGTCTCTGGGGCATTCGAGATTGTGATGATTGCTCTACACATATAGAAAATAGTATTGTTTTATTGATTTCTTTTTCATCATCCCTTCCCTGTCCCCACTTTTTAAAAATTGAATCACCGTGAGATACACAGTTACAAAATTGTGATAGAATTTCAGCAGTATGATATTTTAATGCTCGAGCGGGCCTAGTAATGTCTCCATTGGAGACTTTGTTGTTACTGTATTTGGCATATCGAATACGTCACGGGGAGCTTGCCAGGCTCTGCCGTGCAGGAGAGATACTCTCGATAGCTTGCCAGGCTCTCCGAGAGGGGCGGAGGAATCGAACTCGGGTCGGCCATGTTGGCTGCGTGCAAGGCAAACGTCCTACCACTGCCCTTCACCAGCATACATTTCCTACCACCAGTATTCCTAGTTTCCTTCCCGCCACCCTGCCCCCTCACCGACCTGCTTCTTTTTTTTTTTTTACATTTTTTCTTTTTATTAGTGAAACACCATGAAGTACAGTTGTAGATTTACAATTTTTTGTGCTTGGATTTCGATTATACAGTGATCAAATACACATCCCTCCATCAGTGCCCATTTTCCACCACCATGGATAATATCCCTTCCACCCCCACCCCCACCCTCCATCTCATCCTGCCTCTGTGGCAGGGCAATCCCTTTTGTTCTCTCTCTCCTTTTGGGTGTTGTGGTCTGCAAAAGAGGCACTGAGTGGCAAACATGTTCAGTCCATAGTCTACTTTCGACATGCATCTCCCCTCCTGGGAGGATCCTCCAAACACCCTTTATTTGGTGCTCCCTTCTCTATCTGAGCGGCC